TCACCAGCTCTTTATTTTCGTCTAATTTCTTTATAAAAAGATACTTTTTCAGATTAAAATTATGTTTTTTTGTGTTGTACATTCAGCACCAACACTATAATAAGTAAATATATCATATTTATTCATTACTAACATATTGCCAGGAAGCTTGTTAAGCTTTTGTAGCTTGTGGTAGCTTTCGGTAATTAGACGGACAACTCTAACATGTACCCTTATGTTCATACCCTGGACCAGGTCATGCTCCCTCCCCGGTTCACCCATCGTACTTAGCTATTAGTGTTTATCTATTAGTGACTATGGGGCTATGCTATGGGGCTATGTCTCGCCTGCTCAGAGGCAAATATAAGTCACATTGTACAAAAGATGTTTCACCAATGAATTTTAAAACCTACCTAACCTTACTTTATCTAGCCTAACCCAAAAGTAACACATTCATTCAATTCCCATTGCCAGGAATAGGGAGCCTACACAGGCTTATTAATGTCCCCTTCTACACCTGACCTTCCCCCAGGATGCAAACCACAACAGCTGCCTAATTCCAAGGTACCTATTTATTGCAAGGTGAGAAAGAGGCCTTAGATAACATGCAACATGCCCAACCATTTCTATCCATGCAATTTATCCTGGGATCCTCGGTCGAGTCCAGGACACCGACCACGGTTAGGTTAGGCTGCGTTAAGGTTAGGGAAGGATTGGGTAGGCTGGATTTGGCAAGGTTAGTTTAAAGAATTACAATGACATAGTCAGTTGGAACTTTTGTAGGCTCTTCTAGCCTACTAGCCACCGGGGTATGTCTGCCCGTCCCTACAGCTTCATGCCCTGCTGCCCGTGGCCACCTTAATGGACCACAAGTAATGCAATTATAAATGACCTGCAATTATATGCCCGCCGGGAAATGTTTAGATATAAAATATACATTTTTGAGAATGTTTTATCTGAATTTTAAAGGTAAATTATAAATAGCAGCTTACGTAAAATCACCAGATATTTGACTGATAATATACTACATGTATCATTGTATCAAGAGGTTAGCGAGGCAGTGATGACATAGGCCTCCCCACACCCCTTTTCTTTACCCCTCATTTATCAAACGTTCCTTTTTCTTATTTCATCATACAATGTACCTCCATTACCTGGATATTTCATTGACTTAGTGGGTAGAAATTGGTGTTGTTACCTTGAGAGGGCGAGTGTAGAGGGCCGCCTGGAGGAGCCTGGACCTGTGTTGGGGGCCGGAGCCACACTGTCTGGCTGGCCTCCCACCAGGCTCCTCCAGGCTGGGCTCTGGTTCCTGGCTCCCGCCTCTCCTCTCTCACCCAACTGGTAGTCAGTTGTGCTTGGGGGGTTGAGCTCTGGCTCTCTGGTCCCGCCTCTCAACTGGTGTACAGGTGCCTGAGCCTATTGGGATCTATCATACCTACATTAAAGTGTGTATGGAGTCAGCCTCCACTACTTGGTGCAAGTAATACTGTATGTTAAAAAGAATCAAATGGTTACTCCGTGTGTCTGCGTATACATATGCATTTTGCCTGAAACGCTATGCGTGCTAGTGGCTTTATAAGAATGTAAAATCAACTTAATTTCTATGTTATCTGTCAACCCCCAATGTACCTTCTTGTAAATAAATAAATAAATAAATAAATAAATAAATAAATAAATAAATAAATAAATAAATAAATAAATAAATAAATAAATAAATAAATAAATAAATAAATAACATGTCTCCCCAAGGGGTCGTGAACGGCTCATCTTGCTGGAAATCTCCAGAACATTATGGAAGGCAGACTCAATTATCTTTACCTAATTTACGTAAGGGCCCACTAGTGACCTCGACGAGGACACGAAGCCGGCGGCTTGTCGAAGGTTCCCCCCACCCCCATTTGCCTTGATCTTTTCCAGTTGGACTTTGAAAATTTAACAAAGTTTTGCCATTGAAGGCTTCGGCGAGTAGGCAGTTCCATGTTTTTTTTTCATACTGTGGTTGAAAAAACCTTCTTCTATTCTCAATCCTACATTGTGGCAAATTCAACTTCAAGTATTGTCAATTTGTCAGAGGCAATTTGTTTAATTAATTACAGAGATAATTACACTGTTGTAATTTCAACTTAAACTCTATGTTCTCTCTTAACCCCAATGTACCTTCTTGTATATATATATATATATAAATAAATAAAAATAAATATATAAACATCATACTTTATAACATTAGAACATAAGGTACTCATATATGCTCTCTTCTTTATCATACATTGTTCATTACTTCCCACCTTTGAACCGAGAGGATTAATTCATTAGCTCCCCCACCTCTCATTAATTTAATGGCATTTATCTCTGAAATTCTATCCCCAATACTCTTCAGATTCAACTCCATCCTCATTATCTCAATCATAGTATTTCTTGGGCATCCTAAGATAATTCTCATGGCTTCATTTTGTACCTTCTCCAATTTGCCCATCCTACCTTTACCAAAACAAGAAATGACAGGTGCAGCATAATCAATAACAGATCTTACAGTACTCAAGTATATCATTCGTAGCACAAGTACTCCCACTCCCTTTCCACAGCTGCCAAGGCCTTCAGAGGCTGTAATCTCTTTCGACATTGACCTAACAGTCTGTTCATCTCAGCTTCCAATCTCTCATGGGTATATCCAACAATCGACTTGAGAATGGTCCAGGACGGACCAAAACGTCGTCGTCCCTTCACCTTCTAGTGTGTACTCACTTAGTTGTACTCACCTAGTTGTGGCTGCAGGATCGAGCATTGACTCTTGGATCCCGCCTTTCGAGCATCGGTTGTTTACAGCAATGACTATGGTCCTATTTTCCTATCATATCTGGTTTTAAAATTATGAAAAGTATTTGCTTCCACAACCTGTTCCTGAAGTGCATTCCATTTTCCCACTACTCTCACGCTAAAGAAAACTTCCTAACATCCCTGTGACTCATCTGAGTTTCCAGCTTCCACCCATGTACCCTCGTTCTGTTACTATTCCGTGTGAACATTTCGTCTATGTCCACTGTCAATTCCCCTGAGTATTTTATACGTTCCTATCATGTCCCCCCTCTCCCTTCTTCTTTCTAGTGTCGTAAGGCACAGCTAGTTCCCTCAGGCGCTCCTTATACCTCATCCTTCGTAGCTCTGGGACGAGTCTCGTTGCAAACCTCTGAACCTTTTCCAGTTTCCTTATATGCTTCTTCAGATGGGGACTCAGTGATGAGGCGGCATACTCTAAGACTGGCCTCACGTAGGCAGTGTAAAGCGCCCTAAATGCCTCCTTACTTAGGTTTCTGAATGATGTTCTAACTTTTGCCAGTGTAGAGTACGCTGCTGTCGTTATTCTATTTATATGTGCTTCAGGAGATAGATTGGGTGTTACGTCCACGCCCAGGTCCCTTTCTCGCATCGTCACGGGTAGGCAGTTCCCCTTCATTGTGTACTGTCCCTTTGGTATCCTATCTCCTAGTCCCATTTCCATAACTTTACATTTGCTCGTGTTGAACTCCAGTAGCCATTTCTCTGACCATCTCTGCAACCTGTTCAGGTCCTCTTGGAGGATCCTACAATCCTCATCTGTCACAACTCTTTTCATCAACTTTGCGTTATCTACAAACATCGACATGTAGGACTCTACTCTTGTAAACATGTCGTTAACATATATTAGAAATATAATTGGTCCCATCACCGATCCTTGAGGTACTCCACTCGTCACTGTTCGCTAGTCCGACTTACAGGCTGCTTCCTGGTGTGTGTGTGTGAAAAATAAAATAATACTGCCCGAAACGCTTTGCGTAATAGTGGCTTAAGGCATTGTATGTACTAGCTCTATCTATAAATCCATCAATCTTTGTAAAGTCTCTTGTATGTATGTACCTTACCTAAATAAACATTTATTTATTATTTATTAGTAGTTAGTAACAGTTGAACATAAGAACATAAGAACAAAGGTAACTGCAGAAGGCCTATTGGCCCATACGAGGCAGCTCCTATTCTATAACCACCCAATCCCACTCATATACTTGTCCAACCCGTGCTTGAAACAATCGAGGGACCCCACCTCCACAATGTTACGCGGCAATTGGTTCCACAAATCAACAACCCTGTTACTGAACCAGTATTTACCCAAGTCTTTCCTAAATCTAAACTTATCCAATTTATATCCATTGTTTCGTGTTCTGTCCTGTGTTGATACTTTTAATACCCTATTAATATCCCCCCGGTTATGTCCATTCATCCACTTGTAAACCTCTATCATGTCACCCCTAACTCTTCGCCTTTCCAGTGAATGCAACTTAAGCTTTGTTAATCTTTCTTCATATGAAAGATTTCTAATTTGGGGAATTAACTTAGTCATCCTACGCTGGACACGTTCAAGTGAATTTATATCCATTCTATAATATGGCGACCAAAACTGAACTGCATAATCTAAATGGGGCCTAACTAGAGCAAGATATAGCTTGAGAACCACACCAGGTGTCTTGTTACTAACGCTGCGATTAATAATCCAAGTGTCCGATTTGCCTTATTACGAACATTTATGCATTGATCCTTTTGTTTTAAATTCTTACTAATCATAACTCCCAGATCCCTTTCGCAATCCGACTTCGCAATCACAACACCATCTAGCTCGTATCTTGTAACTCTATCATCATTACCTAACCTCAGAACTTTACATTTATCAGCATTAAACTGCATCTGCCAATCCTTTGACCATTTCAAAACCCTATCTAGATCAACTTGAAGTGATAGTGAGTCCTCCTCCGAATTAATTTCCCTACCGATTTTCGTATCATCGGCAAATTTGCAAATGTTGCTACTCAAACCTGAATCTAAATTCTAAATTCAAATTTGATTGATTGACAGTTAAGAGGCGGGCCGAAAGAGCAGAGCTCAACCCCCGCAAGCACATGTAAGTGAATACAACTAGGTGAATAATACCAGCTACATTATAATAATAATGTTGTTAATATAGAGGCGACGAGGATCAAGGGATAAATACCAGTATTAGGGGAGGATAGAGGCGGGTGGGGCGTTGTGCTCTAGCTGCCCCCTACCCCATAACAACAACACCGGCTCCTCCCTTCAGGTGCTCAAGTATGTGTTTATTTTCTTAGTTATTTATATATACAAGAGTTCTTACATTCTTGTACAGCCACTGGCACGCACAGCGTTTCGGGCAAGTCCTTAATATTATAGTCCCCGGAATACGACCCGCCAAATCGTTTTAGTGAGTTTAGTTTAGTTCATTTATTATGCACCCCATACCCATCTTGTGGGCGGTAGTGGAAAAGGTTACAGAGGCACGTAACCCAAGTACTCATTTTACTGTTGAGTAAACAGAAGCTGCAGTTAAGGATTGACGCCAAGTCAATCCTCCCCGGCCAGGATACGAACCCAGGCCAAAGCACTCGTGAAACGCTAGGCGAGTGTCTTACCACTTCGCCACGGAGGCTGGAGCAAGTGCTCAGGTCCGCGTTAATGAAGGTATTCCCGTTGTTGTTATAGGTTCAGCTACTCGGAACAAGTTCCAAGTAGCACGGGCTATGGTGAGCCCGTAGTGGACTTACCCGGCACAGGAGCAGGGCTATAACTGAGGTATTCCCGGTTAATTGTCTACTATATAGTAATAGTTTTGATGTGAGCAGGTCTGGAAAGTGGGGATGAGTTGAGAAGACCTGTGAGGGGGTTTGGGATTTGTTTTATATTGATGTATGTATATTTACTTTTGCTTAAGGTGCTAGATAAATTTATGCTTTTATGACTTGCTAATTGAAAGGAGTACTGTGGGGGATTGGTTGATTAGTTAGAAAATTCAGTGTGTTTCTAAATGTCTTCACCACTTGATGGGAGATAAAGTGTTTAATGAAAATACCAAATAAGATCACGCCCATGGAAGGAAAGGGTATCTTACAGGTACAGTACTAGAATATCAAAGGCTCATGTATATGAAGCTAAATTATGGAGACCTGTTCTGAAGGTATTTTGATATAAATGGTGGAAAGTTTGAGCTCCTAAATTATAACTTAATAATTCAACAAAAAAATTGTGTAAAACCACATTATACTGAAGAGGAATTGGATAATGAAGTTGCATTCATTGTAATTTCAATGAACAGTGTTTCAAGACTTGAAATTGGATTAGGAATTTTAGATTTTGAGAGCTACTTGAATTGATTGTTTTTTATGTAATACTGTACATGTAATTACATTTGATCATTGTACTTTTCAATGAAATTTAATTGAAATAACTTTATATAATGGGCAGTATAGTATGTGGTAATGAGATGGAATGCATGTATTATATATTCTTTAAGCTAAGAATAGTAATGAATTTTTGTATTCTTATTTCTAATTGCAATACAGTTTTCAGATCTCATCATGAAGGTGTTGTTGATCTCCTTGCTTCTCATGGCGGTTGCTGTTTGTGTTGTGACTGAAGGGGAATTGGATTTTGATGACACTGAGATTGATGAAGGTGCAGATGCTGCATTGAAGTGTGATGCATGTAGAATAGTGGCTGCCAAGGTGAGGATAGTAGTGATACTAAATACTACATCCATATTTAGTATCACTATTATGGTTATTGTATACTTATCCCATCAGCTGCAAAAGGGGAGGGAGGAGGGAGAGGCACATTGCTAAGTTAGTAGCTTGGGACAAGCATGTTACTTAAACAGAAGGGAAACTTTATTTGAACAACACTTATAAGTAACATAGAGAGAGGTAAGGTCTATAGAGTATGCTCTACTACAGCATGTCATCTTAAAGAATGATTAAATGGTTTTAACACCTAGAACAGAACTTTGGTTTAATAAATTAATACAAAGGCTGCCACTAAAAAGCTATAAGAATGAAAATTTATAGGAACCGAGTCGAGCAGAAAATCATGTGGTATAGGGTGTAGGGCTACTGTAACCCTAGCAAGTCTTGTTTGAGAGTGTGGTTCAGGAAATTTCTGTGGGGGCTTGTTGTGCTAGGATTAGGTACGTTAATTCTTCCAAGGTTAAGGGTACCTATTGCAGGAGGTGGAACTCCTGTTGAGACTGAACAGAATAGTAGTCTTTTTCCACCTTCCTAAGAGCATAGTGAAATATTATCTAGGCTCAAAAATGCACTTCCAATTTAACACAAAAATCATAGTACAGTATTTTAGTGTACAATAGTATTTCATGAAGCCTCTTGTTACAACTACAGCAGGTAACTACAGTATTCTCAAGTTGACTTTTTAAAGAAAAATAGGAAAATGTGGAAAATAGGATTTTTGGGATAATGAATGCTCTAGAAAAATTATGGTAAATTGTCACCCTTAATCTTAAGAATGGTAATGTATATTTTTAGTATATTCAAATTAATTTATAGTTTGCAGAATCATTTGCTGATATCCAAGGCAACATCGTTCCGACTATCTCGCCAAAAGATGAAGAAATTATCGAGGCAGCAGAGAGTACTTGTGATGGTGCATGGGAAGGGTAAGTTTAGTGTGTACCAAAAGTGTTGAGTATGCATTACAGCACACTCATGATTATCTTGGCACTCCAATCAATTCATTGCAGTGTTTTGGTAGGAACTTTGCAGTGTGTTTAATAGAATACAGTATATAATAAATATGTATTTACCTAAATGTAATTACTTATTCTAATATATATACTGTACCTCTATTAAACACTAAAGTTCAAACCAAAATGCTGCACAGGGTACTCGACTAAGTTGGGTTAGATGCTTAAAATATTTGAGTTTACTGTACTGCACAGAATTTTAGATATGGAGTACAGTATTACTTTTCATGTTACCTTCATATCAATCTCTCCTCCAAAAATAATAGTACTTACAGTAACTATTGGTGGAATGTACAAAGTTGTTGTATCCAAAATATATAATGTTTTGTTGATCAGACCACACACTAGAAGGTGAAGGGACGACGATGTTTCGGTCTGTCCTGGACCGTGGTCCAGGATTGGACCGGATTAAGCATTGGCTAAAGTCTTTATTCAGTCCAAGCTATAGTACTGAATAATGATGTTGATGTAGGGACAACAGTGATCGAGGATCAGATGCGTGCACACTGAATGTCAACATCCACTAGTTAAAGTATGGTGGAACCTTGATGGAACACGCTACAGTACACACATGCTTCCATGCACAGATTTATACCGGACCCTTCCATAAAAGCCAAAATGCCGTTGCACCCAAAGTTTGACAATTTTTTTTTATTCCTCATTCAGTATAAAGTTTTTATTAGTGCCAACAATTTGTGCACACTTTAATACTAAAATCACTAAGGGAACAAAAATGTTAAACATTTTGTTGATCTACTTTTGCCATTTTTATCACCAAAATCCAGTCCAGTGACAGCATGGACTTGATCTACCTGACGTCTTCCATTGTTGTCTGTTGCAGCTAAACGTAGTGATCATCCCGCAAAAATGAGTGTTCTTTTGCTTCTGATTTTGGCACTGTGAGACTCTGGTGAATTGGATATCTTTTTACTTTTGCCACTCTGCTTATCTGCAGAAACTTTGACCTGGTTACATTCTGCAGTAATTCAAAGTTTAGCCAGAAGAGTGGAGGATTAAGCACATGGGTTTGTGTACAGTCCAGATTGTGTTGGTATATGCTTTTATAAATAAATAAATATAAACCCCCCAAAATAATATACCTTTTTAGGAGGGTAGATGGCAACTCATGTTTGGCTATCAATTGCCTTGGACTCGGCTTGGTATTTTCACAAAGTTTCCTCATGTTTTTGCAGTGCTGTCAGAGGCAACTGGCTCATACCTCAATTGAGGTCGAGCACACATTCCACATTTATCACCCAGATCAAGCTTGTTCAAAAGTATGTAGCCCATGTAGCTAAAGGGTAACAATATTCATTTCAAGGAAATTGTCCTTTAAGCCACATTGCCAGCTGGGCCAAAGTACTATGAGCTAAGTTCTTCCAGATATTTTATAGCTTGGTGTGCCCTGTTCTGTAGTGTTGCTCTCAACAGGATGTTGTTTGATTGTGGGTTTAAGTCTTTCTGAGAGAGCTAGAGGTTAGTGGGTGTTTTCACTTTTTTTTTTTTTCAGGTATGGTGTGAAGATTATGGGTGGAATGGAAAGACTCACCGGACCAGAAGCTGACGTAAAAGCTGGAATTGTGGATAATGATCCCATTTGGTCTCGTAGGTAAGAATATTGAATTCAAATTAAGAATGTCAGTATAGTGCAATATTTGCAACTAACCTTTGTTACCAAATCACTGTGTGGTTGGATATTCTGTAACATTTTAATGAAGGTATGACCCACGGTACCAATTATAAGGTTGTGCTAGATTTATTTTTAATTGTACAAAACAGAAATTCATATAGAAAAGATTTTGATAATGACTCATTTTGGCACAGGAAGGAATGATTACAAGACACATACAGGTATAGAGTTTATTAAAATATAATTTTTTTTAAAAGGATAAAATTTCAAGTTAAACAATGATATGGAAACTTTAGCTATACAATACTGTCTTTCGTACCTGGCGTTGCTCGGGTGGCAAAATGCCACATCTACACCATACAGTACATGGCCTTCATCACTAAAACCTTCCAAGTTACATTGTATGACCTTTGTAGGAAAAACTTGCTTGGCAATTCTACCAGAAATAAGTAAATAGGATTTTAAAATGTAACTCAAATGTATAACAGGGGTGATTAATGCTTTGCAAGAAAAGGAAATGTGAATCCTTAAAATATATTTATTGAAAATGTAATATGGGAAACTACGATAAGTACCTGTACTTGTAGACTGTGCAGGTGAAACTATGAAAGAAGAAGAAAGTAACTAATAATAGATGGATGCAGTGTTAGTTAAACTATTGACTGGAACATGTATGAGGTGTAAATGCCAAAACTATAAATTGTGGAAATTGGTAAAGTGGGAAAGCCAGAATGATTATAGTGTTAAAGGATATAGTTATGTGGATCATATTTGAATGTTTTTAATATTAGTGTTTATGTTAGAAGATATTTATTTCATTTGTGGATTTAGAAAGCCTGTAACATTGTACCAATGATGAACAGTCCTGCAGAATACATTGATAATACTGCTTATAGGGAGAAAGTGAGGCTGTGGAGTGAAAAGGGTTGTATTATAGAACTGATCCAATTTATAAATGATCCATTAATAAATGAGCAAAAATGTAAAATATTGAATTTGGTTGAACAGCGTACACAGTCCTGACAATGATGTTGAGAAACACCAGGTTGAGTAGATGTCATTAATACAACCCTTACAAGCAAAACAGTAAAGTCGGCTCCATTTGGTTTTTGTTTATAACGGGAAACATGAGTGGTGTGAACGTAGGCAGAGAATTATTATGGATAGGTAGATTAAGAATGTACGTGAATGAATTAACTGGGAGATAAGGAAGCGGGAAACTGTGCGATAATGCTAATTGATTCTTATTACTGAACTCGTTTCTGTAATCTTGTGTTTTTCAAAGACTACAGGATATGTGTGATGAACTTCTGGGGGAAACTCCTGATGAAAAGACACTCTTCAACACATGGGCAAGTGGAAACTCTCTGGAAGAATATTTGTGCAAGTGAGTTAAGTCATTTTTAAGCTCTTGTAATGTATGTACATTTAGTGTTGTATTATTATACAGTATTTTGTTTATGGCTGTATGTAGTCCAAACCACTCATATCCAATGATTAAACTGAGTTATCTTATTTGAGTAAATGTTAATAACAAATAATATTAATTTATTTGAGTTAATAAACTGAGTTAATGCTTATATAATAAAATTTAAAACAATTAAGCTATTACAATAGCAAAAATTACTACAGCTATTATATAAGGACAGCATATTGTTATCTTATAAGAGTAAGCTTCTAAATAGAATTGGATTTATTTTCTTCTTGAGGTATCTGTTCAATCATTTGTCTGGGAACTTGTATGATAACATGGAAAATTTTGATCACCTTCAGAATGAATGACCCGAGTGCCTTCTTTCTGTACACAATTGTGTTTGTGTACCCATTCCAAGGTGTTTCACACCTGATAAGGGTATGATCAATGCACAAACAAAATGCGATTTGTTAATTTACTATCCTGTGGATTGCAGTGTTTCCGATCTCTACATTCACAATTGCTAGTGATGCCTAGCAATATCAGCCACCATATGTTTCTCCCCCAACCAATCATGTGCCAGTCTTATGAAAACTTTTCCCCCCACCCCCTCCTCCTCCTTCCGTTTCTCATTCACCCTTCTTTTTCTCCTCACCTATTAGTTCTTGCCAATCAGTGGCTACGGGGAAGTCGGTTTGGCTCTTTATGCCCCACTTACTAGCATTGTTGTATCTGTTGTGTTATTAACTATCCTATTGTTCAAAATCTTAATCCAGTCTGGCTTTAAAGCTGTAGATGGAGGTGTCTTCCACAGTGTCTTCTTTTAATGTATTCCATGTGTTTCTCCACCACCACTTTTGCCTCTCTTTTCACATTTGTTACCACCTTGTTTTTATACCCCTACCACAATCATCTACTCTTCCTCTAAAGGTGTGATCTTTGCATCAAGAAGTGCTATCTGTTGTCCAGCTAATTATTGCCGGTGTTTTCCTTAGTAAACTGTGCTCTTTGTTCCATAGTTATACTGTATAGGGAAATGAGGAGAGTTGTCTTTTTATGGGGGGATAAAAAGTAGCAATATTCATTCTTTTTTATCATGTGTCTCTTCTCATTTGTTACAATCTTTTCTTCAGAGGGGCTGGCACCTTTGGAGCTTGCACTTCAGATAACTGGGGTCCTTGGCCAGGTGATGATTATGAAGATTATGATGATACAGCAGATTTTGAGGACATACATGATGAGTTTTGATAAGTTAATTCATAAATTATAGCAAGATAAGAATTATCACAATTATTTTGATAATTTTTTAAAGAAGGTTTTTTAGCTTTGTATTTTGCTAATCTCAATAAGATAAGCAATCTCAGTAAGGTAGCAAGCTTTACTTTTTATACACTAATGTAAAGATGAATAAGGTGTAGAATACAAATTTGTTTGATTATTATAAGCACTCACATTGTAGGTTCCAGTCATTGTTTTGTACCCCCAGATTGATGTTGAATAAGTTAGTTGTTGAAGTAGTTGTCTTGTCTTGTCTTGTCGGTAAAGTTTTTTCCAGCGATCTACCTGATGTTACTTAATTTAATGATTTAAACAAATCATTCAATTTGTTAAATTGTTGTTGGGTTAGCAACAACCTGTGGCCTACTCAAAGGTTACAATTGCTTTAAAAACATAATTTGTCAATTTGTACATCAAATGTATGTTTGATGGCAGCAATTATGCCAGATTTCAGTTAAGTGTAAAGCTTATGTTCAAGAGTATTTATTCTGACAATGTGGTGTGATTAGTATTTTGCTTGAAGCATGGATCAGCCGTAACTATATTCCTCAGGAATGCATTTTTGTGTGTTGTGACACTAATTCAATTATTAGCATTCACATATACAAATCAGGAGGGTTAGGTTAGTTAGTTTTAAGGCTAATTAAAATTCCTGTAATGGAAATAGAATTAATACAAAATACAACTACTGTACTTTAAAACAAGTAGCTAGTTGCAGGTAAAAGTTACATAGGCTGGAACTAGTCAAGAATTTCAGTTTCATAAATAATGTAGTCTACAGTAGCTTTATTTACATTATACTGTATTTAAGCTGTAAGTACTAACTTTTGTAGCTATCATTCCAGGTAACATGAAAGTAGTAGTAGTAGTAGTGGTAGTAGTAGTAGGCATCCATCAGTCTCAGGAGACTATGGAGTTATGGTTGTCGGTCTGGAGTGGCCAGACCGACACAAACTTGATATACAGTACTGTACGTAAGCTGTATTTGGTGAAAAAAAAATTAGGTTGAAGAAGCTAGTGTGTGTTTAAGCTTTCAATAAGGCATAGTTTAGTACTGTATTTAGAAGACAATTTTTATAAGCAACATCTGCACAAAGATGTTGCTTATAAAACTCATAATGAATGTTATGATTCCGGGAATATTACTAACAAATTAAGACAACCTTAATAGAAACCATTACTTGGAACTAACAATAACATTGAAAGTCTCATCTTTGCATATATTTTTGTGTGAAAGACATTGTAACATTCAGAATTATACTCTGCCATATTTATTTCATTGAAGCAATGATATAACTTGGCAAAATGAGTTATTTCCCAATAAAGTGAGTTAAGTACTTCATGAATGGACACTTAAGTAATTATTCGGTGCAGTGCAGCCTTTGTAGAAATTTAATCGTGGCAAATGCTGTGTGCTTTTTATTCTTTGCAACTGACTAGTTTAAATTGTTAAAGATAATTGAGAAATGCTTCCATGTATGAGTGTGTCTCACAGCTGTGAAGTTCTACATCATGTAATTTGCCAACCTGTCCTAACAATGTACTCAAACTGCAATATTGTACTTATTTGGTAAGTACTGTTCAGTGTTGTTATAGTACTGCATTTTGTTATAAATGTGCATTACAGTACTTAAGAGTTTATGCTTGATTTTAATTGAATTATCCATAAATGCACAGTATGATGATGTTTTGTTTACACAAGTTATTTGTTGTACTTAATAAGTTACAATGGGAAGCATCTCCTTGAAGGAATATGTACAGTTTTGCTAAATAACTATTTTTTTACCGTTTTATATTCACTTTCGTAATGTAGTCTTCAATACAGTTTTATATTTAATGAAACGAGGACAGGTTGTTGCTTTTTATGTGAGCTTTTGCTGTGTGGTTCACAATGGTGCTCTTAATTAAGTAAACACATCCCCTCTTCTGGGAGTAGCTCCCTTGGCTTCCCAGATCTATTCGAGCTGATATGATTGTATTAGACCCTGGCATCAGTCAAAGCGAATAGAGTTCTTAGGCCTACCGGGGACTACAAGCCAGAACCTGGCCCCCCCCTCGAGGAGCAATAGAAACCTATAGAAACACCCATGTGGTTGGAAGCATTCTGTGTCTGCCATCGACTGGGTCAGGTACCCAGAAAATTAGGCATCCCAAAACAAACCCTATCTGGTTAAAATATTGCTACTGAAAGCTGAACTGTTTGGACAGAAGTCCCCAAACAAAAAACAAGCACGACGTCAGTAGTTATCGATTGCGTCGCCCCCTTCCCCGGGAGGGGAAAGGGAGGAGCCCCAGACCCCCGCTCCAGTTATCCACACCGTCAGTTCTCAGCTGATGTGTGACTGAATCCTTCCAGTGCTGTGGTGTAGTAGCATGTTGAGCAGTGTACTTACACTGCTCAACATGCTATGCCCGCTACACCTGATTAAATTGGACCCCATTTTCACCTTTTTCTTCAAACTTTAATGCCATACTTTTCTCCCCTTTTATGACTTATTCTTGACCCATTTGTATTGGTCTATTTGTCTACACCTGACCCCCTAATGGTATAAATCCAATATGCTTTGTACTTTCTTATCACTTGAGAATGAACCATGTAGGTTCGAACCATTGTGTAATTTTATAATACGTGTAATACATTCTAGAGTTATTTACTTCTTTTTCTTCACCCCGAATGAAGATGACTTTTGGAGACCAACTCTTCCAATTAAACCAAGATGCAAGAGCACTAGTCAGAGGGATAGAAGCCCTAAACAAGAAAATAATCATTACAGAATATGCAGTCATATTCAGTGAAACATGTATAAATGAAAAGTATACACCAATATAAACATACATGTTATATACACTTATAATCTTAAGGCATGCCTGAAATACTTCATAAGCCTTAGAGTATTTGTTGGATATTTATTACTATAGTGTCTGGTATGCCGGGTCTGTCCCCAAAAGCCCAACATGAAGTTGTTGTTCTTCCCATTAGGAAACCAGATTAGTCGGGGTATCTGACCTGGGGATTTTTGTCCTCATTGGCCTGACAAGTTGTGTTGATAAGATTGTCGAGTATACTTGACTCGAGTGGTTATTATTGCACAATTATTGCTTCTCCCTCTCATAATTTGTATGTTGCAAAAAAAAAAATTACTGACATTACTAGGTTTTGAGGTTTACATTTTACATATTTATAATGCTTTTTCTGTGATTAATTTGGTTGTAACCATTCTATTTGAGCTAGCACAAGCTTGATACTTCCTAGTTATAATATTTTATCTCATTTGTAATCTTTTGGCACTTTGCCACCCTTCCTTCCATCACATCCAGGACATTTGCTTTTTTCTGCCTGTTGTCTAGGCAGAAAATCCAGCTGAATTTTGAACTGAAGCAATGTCTTGGCATTTACAGCTTTTGTGTGAAGGCAGTTCCATAGATATATACCTACCTACCTTTAGTAGCTTCCGGGGGATCAACGGCTCTGTGACCCAGTCTCCGACCAGGCCTCTTTGTTGGTCAACCAGACTGTTGGATGCAGCTGCTTGCAGCCTGACTGATAAATCACAGCCCAATAGGTATTTCTATGGATTCAGATTAGGATGCTATGGGTGAAAAAGCATCCAGTTGTCTGTCCTACATTGTGTTTTTTCAAGTTTGAAGTTATTGGTCCTTTTGTGTATTATGTTTGACCTTTTTAAAGAAGTGGTGTGGCTCAAGATCTGTTCAGCATTTTAAAAGTTTCAACGAGAGCAGTACTATCAGGTCTGGTTTGCAGGGTCGTTTTGTCTTTTGGCCCTCTAACATCCCTATTACGAGTTATTGTCTTGCTTCAGAGATGACTCACTTGTGTTGTACTTTCTCCAAAGCAGGTATGTCCCTCTTCTGATGATGTCTGCATGCCTGAATACAGCAGTCCAAACTGGGGGCACACCCGAGATTTTTACGGTTGAATAACAATCTACTTTTCCTTTAAGTCAAAGGTTCATTTGACCATTCCTGGGGTTTGTTGGCATTTTTTTACTGCAGCTTCCACTTGTACTGTACATTGCTATTGTTAAAACAGAACAAGTAAAGGGTCAAAAGAATAAAATCTTTTAGAAACTTTATTTTGTGCTCTGTTCAACAGATTTCATGCTGTTCAGTGGATCAACTACACAGTTATAGACATCTGAAACTACACTTTACCCATATTCCCCCAGGTGACACTAAATTATCTTGCAATTCGAGATTGTACAGTAAGAATATGGCAGTAACATACCAAACCCATACAGTACTTCATTAAAAAGTATTAATAGTATTGGGAATATGAAGCTATACTGAAAAATATTGCAGTAGCTGCTATAATCTATACCGTATTTGAAATGAAATTACATGGTAGTCATAATACAAATGCAAAATGGCTTTCATTGCATAAAATACATGCAATTATAAATAACCACAAGGATAGTAACAAATAAATAAAGCATTGTTCCACAAGGGGACGGCTAACTAGCCACTCATTGACTAAACATTGAGAAATTTCTACCTCAATTTTTTTAAGTGATGCAATTGCTAGTAGTTGAATATTTTTCAGTTAAAAGCTGATATTACAAAATATCTAGGAGAATCCATAAATTTAATGTTTATCAGAGGAAATGGGAGAACAACACAGCAGGAGTCATACTTGTAAGTACTGTACAGTACATATAACCTTTTATTTGTAATACAAAGTGTGTACATATAAAGTTCGTCATCCTAATTGAGCATAAACCATCAAAAAAGTGATTAATTACAATTTTTTTGTGGGCAGGTCTCTTACAAATTGGAAATAAATTTTAAGCTTTGTGTCATGATTATGCATTTGCATTTACAATAAATTTTACTTATATTTCACATTAAAAATTAAGATGTTCATAGCCTTCAATATTTAAAAAAAATTAACATTTGTGATGTTTTAGCACATGTCTTTCTTTTACAGTAATAGTTGCTTAAAATGTATGATTTAAAAAAGTTTTTATATCGGTATCTATTGAATATGCACAGGGAACAGGAGGCACACGACATTGTTGTTGTTCTCGTCCCGTAGCTCCCACTTCACACTCAGAGACAGCTGTTGAGAAACGGTATACAATATTAATAATTATTAAAGTCCTAGACGAAGCTAAAGCAAGCTTCAATATTTAAAATTAACTAAATGCAACACTGCAAGTTACATTTGTTACCCGATACTTTCAGTGTGTGAAATTATAGTTATAAGATGAAACTAGAAAACTGTACCACAGACAACTCAGTTCTCTTGTGTTATTGTACCACCTTCTCTTAGCAATATGATTTACCAAAAATGATAAGCATAATTAGGGGCTTAGACTTAAAATATATATGCACCCACAAATCATACATCTTTATGATATACCTTGTACTGCATTCTTAATAATATAGACGAGTAGAGGAAAATCACTATAAAGCATTATCCAACATCACAGAAAAAGGGGTACCATGAAATGCAAGAGAGGAGTTTGGAAGAAATATAAATAGCAGCCAGCAGACAATGTTTCCTTCTAATCCCCTTTTTGATGCAACACTAAATTAATAGTTTCAAGGGGAGTCAGAAAAAGATTTTCGTGTACCTGAATGCTCGGGTAGCAAGAGGTTAAACTGCTTTACAGACTTTACAGTAGATCTGCAAGTCAAAAAAAGTTACAAATAAACTAGTTTGTGAAATTTACCACACAGTACATCTTTTTCTAACGGTCCTTTAATGCTCGTTTTATTCTCACTGCACTTTGTTAGTGTATTCCCTTCCACATTCACATTAATAATTACCAGGTATTTCCACACACCTTTGTTACCGACATACTTATTTTATGTCAAAGTTAACCAGCCCCATCTTGTTGGAATACTTCATATTATGTTTCACAAATTCACTTTGTTACATTTATTTAAAAAAAATTACAAATGTTCTTTAGTTTTTAATAAACAATTTATACTGTATAATATCAGTGCCTATACCTTCTGCACCCAGAAATTGATTACAGTATTTTAAATAGTACTGTATTTGCAAATAAAAAGTAAAATAAGTAAAGAATAAGAAAATACAATTAGATGAAAATTAATTTATGCCATGAACCAATTTAAATTTCAGAGAGTGCCCCTCCAGAATCCTAATTTTTTGTTGGAAATTTGAATTCTGGAGGGCAAGTCTGCTAGGCGGATTTGATCCATTTTTTTTTTTTTTTAGCAATCTGTTATAGGGAGGTCTGCATTTGGGAAGAGGCACTAATCAGTGTACTGTATGCACACACTTGGTAATTTTGGTAAAAGTCATCATACTTACAGATGGATAAGAATTCAAAACTGGGAGTGTCGCTGTGTAGGTACTTTTTTGATTTGCTTGAAGTGGACATGTCAGTCCAGACTGAATGCAGGCATTTTCGGGATTTATGGGGAAGGGTATAGGAATAACTTTACCCAAAATGCCTGTCACCTTAGCATTCAGCGTCTGCACTTGAGTACCTGTGGATAGACACGTTTGTAAGTCATGCGTTACTCAAAGTTGGTGTGAAAACCACAATTAACTATTTCGAACCAACAATAACATATCTAAGTATTGGGTATCAAAGAGACTCAAATATTTGGTATATCAATATATATCAAAGAGTATATATCGAGTATCAGAACTACATATCCTAAGCATATTCCCTCCCCAAACCCCTGGAATACAAAGCATTGGTCTTACTTGGTGTGAAGGGCAGAGACATGCTGGCATCCTGGCCTTTTGTGAATATGCAGTTTCGACCCGGGTTATTACAACCAGTTATGAAGACATTTTGAAAATCAATTGTGGCCAGACTTCCTGAAAAAGCAAGATATTATATTAATACATTTATTACTGTAAGATAACTACTTAGGTAATTACACACTTAAGAGGCATGAGTTATGAGGAAAGGCTGCATGAAATGCACCTCACGACACTGGAAGATATAGAAGTAAGGGGAGACATGATCACAACCAACAAAATTGTCAGAGGAATTGACATCATTAATATTAATTATTAATTAAGAAATGATGTGAACTGTCCGAGAGAAAGTGGAGATGGGCAGAGTTACGGCACCCACTTCACAACGGGACTCGGGGCCGTCGCCCGTTCTATAATCGTTGCCAACACACACATGTACACCCTATAGCTGATGCATACATTTGTGTACGTAAGTAAACACGGGAATAATCATGTTTAGTTTCTATATGTACACGAGTGCGTGTACAGCACTTGTGTATATATCGCGGGTGTACGAAAAAGGGGAATAAAGTCTGTTAGTGGTAGACGGTGAAAGGGTAGAGAAAGAAAGGGTAGTGGCGACCGTGGCCAGCCTTACAGTATCCCCGGGGCCAAGTCTGGTCCTCAACTTTTTCCTTATATAAGCCTGCCTCACCACGGCCCAACCCCCGCGCCTGTGCCAGGTAAGTCCACTACGGGCTCACTATAGCCCGTGCTACTTGGAACTTTTGGTTCCCAGTAGCTGAATCTATAACACGGCCCAAGCACTCTACTCTCCCAGCTTAACGAACTAGAGGGTTCAGTTCCTGAACCTATTATGTGCCTCTGTAATCCTTTACACCACCGCCCACGAGATGGTTATGGGGTGCATAATAAAGAAATTGAATCTACCACTCTCTTATCTTACAT